CTCCTCCTCTCCCTCCTCCTCTGTCTCTATCTAAAAGCTCCACCATGTTCCCTGCGGTCCACCCTGTTCCCGATCCCGTCGCTCAGACCTGTTTCACCTCTGAACCTAAAGTGACCTCCTCTCTTCTGTCCTGCTCTGAATCTGAGAAAACTGAGCAAAACTCTTCTTCTCGTCCTGATACGTTCCCATCCAGCAGCGAAACGTGTTCTTCTGTCTCTTCGTCTTGCATCGGTAAAAGTCAGAACGCCTTCACTAATCTCGAGAGGATAAAAAATGTGGAAAATGAGCAGCAGAGGGTTCATGGATCGGGTTTAAAACTAGCTGAGAAGGATCCCACTAAGGTACCAGGTTTCTTGGTTATTTTACATAAATACTTTGGTTTCCTAAACATTTATTAGATAAATATAATAGTTTTGGCTTAAATCAGCCATGTGTTGTTCCTTTTTAGTTTTATATTCAATAATTTCTATTTAAAAACATTTGAAAACACAGTTTACTTCAAAATTTTAAACCACTTTAATGCCCGTTTTTTTTGAATCCCCACACTTGCATATGTATACTGGTAGTTTACCAACATTTCTGATCATGCAGTATATGATGCCTTACAGAAGTTTTACCATGTGGTGTTCATGTAGTGCACTGCAGCCTGTGATGGTGAACGCACCAGAAGAAATAATCCAAAATCAATTGTTCGCTCTGAGAGCTGTCCCTCTGGAGCTCCTAGTTACAGTAAAGAGGTACAAGTCCTAAACCTAAGTCCAAACACAGTTCAACAACACACCATTATTTCCTTCCATAAATTCTGTTTTTTTTCCACTCCCATTTGTTTTTTTCTTTCTTCTTTGTGTAAATATTAGCGAGTAGTTGGAAAGGTATCATCAGCAATAGATGCTAAAGCTCAGAAACTGGCCGTCCTTTATGAGACAGACCACAGGCCCAATGCCGCACTGGTAAGATGCATGTAAATGGTTAGAAGACTAATCCAGACTTGATACTAATGTGATTTGTGAAAAGTTGGCGTGCTAACAAATATTTCTCAACCTTAGTTTTCTGACCAGGGAATTTAAAAGCTAGGAATAGATCCCAGTTGCATGAGTGTACACATGGTTTTAACAGTCTAAACAAATGCAAGCATTTATTGCAAATGTTTACTTGCATACCTCAAAGCCCAAATTTTAACTTTCTTTTTGCAAGATAAACCACAGACGCAGTTGATCTCCATTTTGCTGAGAGCTCAAGAAGCTGCAAATATCTGAAGTTAACAGTGCAATTCTGCCTTGGACTCTGGTTTTACTACCTAGATATTCAACATTCATGCATTTTTTTGTTCTGTTTCACTGTGACTTTTCATACCCTTTCACTCTGGTTGTGTGTGTGTTTGTCAAATACGGTCTTCTGACACTAAACCTTTCTTTCAACATGTCTCCATGTATTTAAAGAATTGCAAAATACCTTCTGACCTAAAAAGTTAAGATTAAAATTATCACTAATTTTAGAATTTGTAGTGACCTGTTTCTGCCTTTGTATTTGTGTTTTTTTTATCAGCTGTGTTTCTTTACTCACTTAGTACTGATGTATATTTTAACCTTTTTAACTAATTTCCTTCAGAGTTCTTCCCCCCGCCCCCATATAGCACTTGTTTTTGACATATGAATCAGTGTTTTTAAATTTTCATTTTCTAAAGGTTTCTGGAGAAAAACGCCAAGCAACTTCTCAGGAGAGCATTTTTCTTACTTCTTCACCTTTGCCTGGTCTTTTCCCCCCTCAGTGTGTGGTGCGTAAAGATTTCCCTCCTGGACTCGGTGGCAGCGACATCTGCCACTTCTGCTCCAAACGGGTATATGTGATGGAGAGACTCAGCGCTGAAGGCTACTTCTTCCATCGCGAGTGTTTCCGCTGCGACGTCTGTAACTGCACCCTCCGTCTGGGTGGACACACGTTTGATTCACAGGAGAGTACGTCTGAGTTATAGCTGATTCTTATATCAAAATAAGGAGTATTTGTAAAAAAACAAAAAAACAAACAAAAAAAAAAAAACCTAGACTTTTTTTTTTAATAAAAATTTTTGGTTTTATTTCATTACAGAAAAGTTTTATTGCAAGATTCACTATGCCCAGCGTCAATACAGCACCAGCTGGGGCAGGTTCAGAAGAACAACGGTAAGACAGCTTTTCAAGTAACTTTTACTTCATTTTTTATGGTGATTTAAGAGCAGAAAATAAGGTGTTGGTAATATAAATATATAACATTATCAATTAAGTGCAAAATTCTTAAGATCAACCAAAACAAGTAAAATTCTTATATAGATTTACAAAGTTACTAAAGACCTTTCCACTAAACTTATTTTGCAAACATAACTGGAAATTGAGAAGGAAAAAATAAAAACTAATATTTTACTACTTTAAGTAGGGGCATGTGTGCTCATTTGCATTTTTATCTGGATTTTTCCAGGAAAACCTAAGCCACCTGAAACCCTCGTCTGTGGACAGCGGGATCTATTCAGCCACAGGCGCCATCCAACCCGCAGGTACCCTGGTTTCCTTGATTAAGCGCGGTCTGAGCTGGCCGAGGCGTGCTGGTCGGGCTGTGTGTGTGTTGCCTCAACAGCTGTTGGGAAGTGTGTGTGAGTCTGTCACAGCTGTGGGATCCCACGTCAGGAGCTACTCACAGGACTATATATTCCTGTTTGAGCTGCTGAGCCTTGGCTGTCCTCTGCTCTGCATGATGCATGAGATGTTGGGACAGATCTACCAGGAGCCCCAACTGGCTCAGCAGCAAATCTTCAACCAATGGTTTGCCTAGGAGAGGAACTAATGATGTACTTGTATGAGGCAAGAGGCCTAAAAGGTGGAGATTTACCTCTTTGTAGCCTAATCAGTTGAGATTCATTTAAGTCAAAGCTCCAATTATTACCTTCACTTACTACATTTAAAGCCTCCTCAGTTACTTAGACTTTTTGTAAACTGTAGTGATCTTAAAAACCTACCTTACTGAGACACACTGCTTCTGTTTAGTGGATAATAAATGTGGCTTTCTTGAATAGTTTTGAGCAGTCAGCATATTACCTGCAGTAGACGGCAACAGTTGCAGCTTGAATTAACTGGAAATTTAGGATTCTTGCTAAGAGCTAGAGACAATGGAAAAAGTCTCAAATGACTCATTCTCTAAAGTTTCCTATTAGTTTGAGCAAATTCTCTAACTTACTTTTATAATTTAGAATTGTATTGTGACTAAATATACAGATATGAAAAGTGAAGAGGTGAAAAATGTTGAATTATGGAGCTTGAAAATTGAGTATTTATTTTGGATGTGGGATATTTGATCCTTCCTAAAGAAAAAAATAGTGGCTAGCTTATAAACTGATGTTAGCTTGGTAGCAAATTTACATTTTTCCTCAACCTCCAAAAACTGAGGTTGCTTAGACTGTTGACTTCTGTGCTAAGATACTAACTACTTGAGACCTATCCAGGTGCTTCAAAACTTATATTAAAAACTCTGGACATAGTTAGTGCTTCGACTCTTTTGAGAGCTAGCTTAGCTTAGCTATTATAGAACCTGCTAGCCGCATGTCAAACAATAACTCCTTTGGCCTGGGTTTTCTCCCCTGCTTAATTAATATCTGATTTGTGGGCATGCTCCAGAAAACTTTCACTCCAGTGTGATTCCATAAGTTTTGGGTGATGTAGATCCAGGATGTAGATTCACCTAATTTTGTTTAGTCGGGGTTTGTAGTTGCCTAAAATTTTAGTTTTCCTGAATTATGAAATTGTAACCTGGAGCATGTCCTAATTCTTACCAAGAACATTCTATAAAGAGTGTGGTTTCTGTTTTGATTTTCAAAACTTCTGGCAATGATGTGAGAGAGCTGCTTGTTTCAATTGTCTGCTTCCTAACACTGCCCACCAGAGTTGTGCAATGGAAATGCCAAAACAGTATTTTTTTTTTCCATTATCAAATGTGAAAGCATTTTAAGTCATCAAAAGCTCTAGTATTTACATAATGTGTTATAAAGATACTTTTTAAGATTAAAGGCTCATTATTTATGGTAGGCTGTTTAGAACAATTGTTTTTTTTAGAATTTTACAAATTTATTAGCAACAACATGGTACTTTTTATTTTTTTATTGTGAACATTTAATTTGTGATTTTTTAAACTTTCTTTTTGAAGTTTCTTTTTAATTGGTACATATTAATTTCAAGTTATATTTCATATAATGCTTAATAATAATTAATGCAAACCAAAACAATGAGCCTTATCTTTAAGACAGATGTTCTCATGTAGCTAAAAAGCCTATTTGCAAAGTCTATTTTGTAATTATTTTGTTAAGTGATTAACTTTTTTTTTCAAGTGACGCACTGTAACTGATGCCGACTTTTATGTTTGGTTTATTGTTGTATATGTTTTATTGTACTAAATCTTAAAGTATTATTAATGTTTTTCTCAAAACCTTTGCACATTTTGTTTCCCTTTTTCCTTCTTTTTCCACATCTCATTTATTTTCCAATCCAAAATTTGTCTTCCAGCTTCTGTTTCACTTCATTTTGTTCAGTCTGTTTCAACTTTCCAATGCTGCACATTCTGATTGGCTGATTCCTGCCAGCTGTGAAGGTGACGATTGGCCAGATTTGGTCATAAGATCTTGTTGTACTGCTTTTGCATCGGCTGCCTTTTGTAGCTCCATCTGATTTTGTCTTTTTTTGTTTTTTGTTTTCTAACTAACCAAGATAACTAATCACAAACCATCATAAGCCTCAAGCCTGGCATGTTAAAGACTATAAATCGTATTTGTAGCATTGTGCACTGTTGAATAGAACACCAAATCTAATAATGTGCCTGTGATGAATTGCCGCAATCACTTAGCTGATGAATAAACTACTTGATGCCATTTCCTACAGTATTTCTAAATGTTTCAGCAGTGTATGTAGTTGCCATTATTTTTAAAATATTGCCAAATCGCTTTAATAAACCAAAGCGAAATAAAATGCTGCTGTGCTATCAGTGTGCTATCATAGATAAACTTGCTACACTACCATTCCCCTTCTGAAGTTAAAGTAATTTAGAACAGTTTAAATGAAAAAAAAGTGTAAAAAATTTCCTTGAGAACAGTTTGCTTATGTTGCTTGGACATAACTTAGTTTGAGATCAGTTTTAATACCACAAAACCTTCTTTTTGGAACTGTTGTTATATTTACAAGAAAACTTATTCTTGATATGAGTTTATAGACAGTAACGCGCTGTTTGACTTGTTACAGAAGTCAGAGTTGGCGTTCCTAAATTTCAAAATGTCATACTTTTACAAACTCAGTTTTCCTAATTTTTCTGTCGTTTTTAACACATTAAAAATATTTGACAATGCCACATTTCCTAGTAGCATTCTGTCCCCTCTGTTGGCATTTTGACAAACTTAGATTTGTTATAGTCCATGATACTTATCTGTTCTAGATTAAATACCAGTCCCTTAAATCAGTATTTACATTAGTTCATAAAATAAACAGAAGGCAATTTTAATACCTTGTGTGCATCTCAAGCTCCTATAACATTCATAGGGATTCTGACTTAAGGAGCTGTTTTAGTTGCATTTCCAACTTCAGGGGACAAAGAGAACGCACCATTACGCCTTTGATTAACTACCTATCCTGGTATGATTATGATTTAAGTTTGCATTTAAGCTCTGGGAGAAATTATGTATCTAAAAGTTAGCTCTGCTTTGGAAACACAGAATTGATTTCTCATCAGGTCTTTCACAGTTTTGGCCTTTTCATGTGGCTTAATCAGAAAATGTAAGAAGTGCACTATAAAAATCAGACCATTTTCCAAAGTTGTTGAACATGTCGGCACTTTTTCAGTAATTCGTTTGGTGTTGTGTTATCCTGAACAACCTTTCTAACGCTGACATTGTGCCATGCTTGTCCATGTCCTCTTTACTCCGACCATCCGTCCAAACGGCTTTTGAATATATTCCCTGCCACTCGTGTGTCAGCAGCATCCCCTTCTCTTCGGCCCATTTGACAGTAACATGTCTCCACATGTCTGTGGTTCCCTCTGTTTCAGAAGGAGACCTTCCCACTCCTGCTCCCCTCTCCAGATCTCTCTCATGTACCTCCTAGTCTTTGCTCAGGAAATAATTAGACAGCAGATTTTTTTTTCTTTTTTTTTTTTGTCTAACCCTGCCTGAAAACTCATGTTGGCGGTACGATTTCTCTCTCAGTTGTATCGTTGCAGCCTGTTGATCAATTTTTGTGTTGCCTATTATACACAAATTTTGTAAAATTGCTTAATTTATGACATTTAGAAGCTGTGTATATAACTATTGATAAATAAATGTATTTGATCGCAATATTCATTTGCAGTGTTATTTGTTACCCATCAGTTAAATTGCATTATTTCCAAAAGACCAAATATTCACAATGGGGTTCATTCACACAACTTGTTCTCGATACCAGCAAAATCAACACATTCTGTGAAGCTGTTTAATGTAAATCCTTCTTCCAGCTCTTTGAGTTGACCTAACATCACCCACACAAATCATGCTCATGATCACAGCCTTTAACAATTAACGCGTGCTTTATTTATTTATTTTTTTAAAGAGGACACAGATGCTTGAGCTTTGCAGCAACTTAAGTGGGTATAATCCTGTCCATCTTGTGACAAAATGTTACAAAATTGAAGATTTCCTAAATGCAACAGCCTGAGAAAAAGGGTGGCCGTCATGCAAAAGCTTAATTAGTATATATATATATAAAAAAAGTGTTCAGCTATAGAGTTTGACCCCAGCCAATCTGAACAGGACTGAAGTGAATCTCACCAGTATGCTTCTATCGGTTTCCTTGTGGGCTTTACTTATGGGTCTTTTCTGTCCTTTCCTCAGTTTTTTTATTTCCCCTTCATAAATAAAACGGAAAACAAAATCTAATCAAATTGAGAACACTCGGTAAACACCTCTTCGTTGACAAAACAAGGCCTTGTTGTCTAGTATCCCTATCGGGAAAATGTTTATGCCAACGTGTATTTCATTTTTTTTGCTGTGGCCGAGTGGAATCACCTCTGCAAAGATTCTGTACATTGTTGACTTCATTACTCTGTGAGTACACATGATATATATATGCATATGTGTAACTTTTTGTACACAAAACAAGTGACTCTGTAAACTAGACTCTGCAGATTGTTTTTCTGTACCTACAGTTGCTTAATAAGCCTGTGTGACTTGTAGAGAAGATGTTCATGTGTTGTGTGGATTACATAGATTGAAAGAAGTTGTGAAATCGTGGAAAAATGTTGTTAAATATATTGGAGTAACTGTGAATATATGTCGGAATGCATGCCATACATGACAAGAAGAAAGTACACCCTCTTTTAATTCTAAGTTTTTACATGAGAACATTGTAAAGCGGCGCCTGCTGTTTTGAACAGCTCTAGAATCGTCACTACGTACGACACTCTTAGGTTCACTAAAAATCCTCCTCACTACTTCTAACATTGTGTCATGTTATGAACTCTCTTAAGACCGAAGAAAAATCTTAAAATTCTCAGAATTTTACTAAAATGATGGCAGCATAAGCCGTCGGTGTTGGGATTCTTTCAGAATACAGGCCCAGATTGTTTTTATGTAGTCCTGATGTATACGACTCTCGAATTAACAGGGTGTACTGTCGTACTTTCACTCTAATTGTCAGTCCAGCAACAACTAATGTTTGTTTGGAGTCGGGAAAACTTGGTGCCCACACTCTGTAATGATTTACAGGTGAGGCAACCAGCATGCAGTCAGATCAGCTGAAAAAAGATCTAAAAAGATTCCCCGAGGATACAGAAATGGGTGTCGATGCTCTGGAGGCTTCCTGCATCGTCGGACCTAAGAAGGGAGAAGGTGCTGCAGCCAGAAGCCACGACGGCCTTAAAGGTCAGTACAGCCATTAATGTGGTCCAACATTTAACTTTGTGAAACTGAAGAAACCGTTTAAAATCCAATTTTTCTGGCCTCTCTGATGGAGAATCTTGGTTTTAATATTTATAAGTTGTTCGTGTTGAGAGTTTCTCAGCATAGCCGTTTAGTGCCAACGTCCCTAACCCTGTGTCTTTCTGTCATTTTGTCTGTGGGTTTTGAACTAATCAGGTGTTTCAACAAGTGTTTATTGTTGACTTCTCTGGGCTAAAAATGTTCTGACAAAACTGTCCCACATTTCCTTAAATCTATACGTTTCCAATTGAAGACAAATGCTTTGGCTTTAAAAAACCCTAACTGCTGGAGTAGAAGGCAAATGGCAAATATCTTTTTTTGGATTTTCTCAATCAACCGTGGTTCAGAAAATGACACATTATTAAAGAGTGGCTCTACAGTCACACAGTGGGACCTTAATTTGGGTTTTCATATATTTATTTATTGGATTATTGATCTGTTCTTGATGGGGGGTGGAAATCCTAACATTTCCTCACGGGTCATTTGATTGCATTTGGTCTGCAGGTCACTCTAACACAAAACATAATAATCGATGGAAACGAAAGATTCGAGCAAGTGAGTGTCCCTATGAATGTTTCTATTGACTCTGCCCTGCTTCTCTTTGCTTGCAAAGTTAAGCAGCTTAAACCTTTGATACCTCTGGTTTGTTACTAACCTCTATTTTATTTTATGCATTTGTTTTGCTTGATGTCTTTGTGGTTCATAGAAAGTATTTCCTTGTTTCTCTATTAACATCTGGCCGTATTATGTGGCCTGTAAAGCTGCAGCAAGTCCTGGCAGATTTTATTTATTTATTAGTCTTAGATTATACCCCCCAGTTATCCAAATTATTAAATCCTAAAGATCAATTATCAGATGGATCTACATAATGCCAGTTTACCATTTTGGATTTGAATTACTCAAACCTTATTTTCAATGATATTCCAAATTATTATGATGTTGATGTGTAAGCATATGATGTCAAAAACCACTTTAGTGATTGAAGATTAAACCAATAGTACTTTAAAAAAAAAGAAACTGTTGTGCTACATATTCAACTCTAGATGTCGCCATAGCTCAACTTTTTTTCTTTTCTTTTAGCCTTTCAGCATTAATTTGGTTAACCTTACTTTAGCTCCTATTTCAGTTTTTTTTCTTCCTTTATTACTTGATTTCATTGTTTGTGCCCTTCACCATCTTCTCTCACAAATGTCACTTTGATATAAAGTACATAACGTGTCTGGTCACTGGGGGGGAACCACAGCACCACTCTGCTCCCAATCTTTGAGAGTTCTTGTGCACGCATGTGTATGTGCATATGCTTTGTTTAAAATGGCTCACTGTAGAAGTAGAGCCAAAAACATCTCATTATTTGCTGAACTTTTGACAGTGTTATGTTTTCTGTTGTCTTTGTGCACAGCATTCCCTCTGATCTTCATCAAGCACTTCCGCTCAAAACCAGAAACTGTTCCTGAAGTTGATTCTGACATTGAGGAAATCGCCTCAGCTGAGACACGCAGTGTGGGTAGCATTTAAAAAGCTCTTCTTTTTTTTTTTTTGCATCCAGGTACTTCAATGTAGTGTCAGCGTGTGAAACAAAGCACTGGTTTTCTATGCAAGGGTTGCAATCAAAACTACTAGTAACCCTAACTCTACCCTTAAGAAAAATGTCACCTTTGAATCCGATTTAAAATCTTTGGTGGGATTTGAGGAAGACTTGTTGCAACATAAGAGCCCTCAAACATCCCTGAGCTTGTGGGATTTGCACATGAAGAATGAGAAGCAATTTCTATTGAGGGCTATAAAAAGTTTGCAAATCAGAAATATTTGTTTCAAGTAATAAAATCTAAAGGATGTATCGCCAAGTGCAGATTCAGTGACTAGAACTATACTGCATATAGTATTTACATTTTTAATTTGATCTTTAAATGAAAAATAAAAGATGAAAATGAAGAGAGTTCAGTTGTGAGGGGAGACCAAGCAGGCAGGCTGAGGAAAGGCGGTTAAGGAACAAGAAGGGAGCTGAAGGAAAAATAAAGAATAACCAAGGAAAGTTAGTAAAATTCTTATTTCACCAGACAAAACATTAGGAAGACTTTCTTCTTTACAATGTTAGCCTGAAAGTTCTTAAAACACTGAGCTAAAGGAACAGCTTATAATGAAATAAGGAAATAATCAAAAGTGGAAACAGAAACTTAAGCCATTCAAGATCATGACATAAAGTGAGCATAATTTTATTTCCTTTGGGTTTTTTTTTTTTTTTTTTTTTAGGAGCCAAAACCAAAAGCAGATGCACAGACTTCGTCTGAGGAAAGTAAGAAGAGTGATGAGCCACTGGCTGCAATAAAATCAGGTTCCAGCACATCGGCTCCTAACAGGAGGCGGCTGTTACTATCCCAGCCTGAAAAAGAGAGGCTTCTGAACTGGGAAGAGGGTCTGAATCCAGAAGAAACTCCCATTAACAGCAGCACAACAAACACTTCTCAGCTTAAAGATCAGGTGAGGATTTCACAAAATAAAGATTAAACTTGTTTCATGCTTTTAATATATATATTTCCCCCCCCCCCCCCACATATTCTTTCTCATGAACCATCTCATAAAA